CGACGATGAATCCCAGATATTTGATTGGAGGCAAGAAAAACACATTTTTGTTCCCGTAAGATGAATCCATATTCACCTGTGCGCTTAAAGACTTTGTTCTAAATGTGTTTTGTGCTCATCTGGTGAGGGGCTTACAACAATGATGTCGTCCATATAAGAAACAGCGAACGAGAGACCACTAAGCATAGTATCCATAATTTGCTGGAATATCGCTGGTGCACATTTAATACCGAATGGAAGTCTGTTGTAGCGGTACAGTCCTCGATTGTGTGTTTACCGTTAGTAGGTCTTTACAACTATCTTCCACCTCAACTTGGAGGTATGCATCCGAGAAATCGATTTTAGAGAATATTTTACCACCATTGAGTCGAGTAAATAGGTCTTCTGGCACAGGAAGTGGATACTGATGTGTCTGCAAAACCTTGTTCAGACCCGTTGAGAAATCACCACAAAGTCGAATGCAGCGGTTGACTTTTTTTTACTGTTACAACGGGGGTGGCCCAAGAGGAACAGTTCACTTTCACCATGCATCCTGTCAAGCAAGCTGGACAACGCAACATCAAGATGGAGAGAGCAATTTAACCAGCATCATGGAGCCAAGGCTCGAGAATTCCATCCAAGTGATTCGGTATTTGTTTTAAAATTTCATGACTGTGGATGTAGCTGTGTATCGAGAACTATGACTCAGCGTCGATGTCATGTGTTATATGAACTCACACTATCTACGGCAAGAAAGAGACTCATCACATAAACCACATCCGACGACGGCACCTCAATATCGGCGATAGACCGAAGAGATCAATGAATCCTGCTAGATACGGTTGAACTGCCAACAAACACGACTGAGAGTAACACTGAAGAGAACGCGACACGAGAAAACCCTATCACCGACACACGTCATTCGTGACTAAATCGGGCTCCATAAAACGCCTCAACGTGGACCCTTCTAAAAGGTCGTACGAATAGTGTTCATCTTAACAGAGGAGGGTGTTGGATCGGAATCGGACAGGCAGTCTTGTGCTTACACGATCACGTAATCACACGTCCTAACTTATGCCAGATAAGTCACGCAGCAAACTAACCAATCACGTGTACGAGTGTTTCAGTTGGTTATTGATCGTTTGCCTTTGGTTATTCATCTCTTATATACCTGTACCATCGAACCAATCAATACATTCTGTACTTGGTGGCTTACCAACCGTGTTCTGCTTACCCGTGCGGGGCGTTTTCAACAGAGAAGTGCGACGGCTTTAACATTCCACAATATACAAATAGAGACATCGTGCTAAGTTGACACTAATGACGTGGAACATTAAAAAAGGTACGCAGAAGAATCATTACTGAGAAGTAACTGACACTCAGGGCGATGAATTACGGCAGGTTCTACTGAGCTTTTGAGGGTGAAATTTTCCGAGGCAGCCGGTGGATGAAAATGACCGATAACTCATGCTCGGGACAAAACGGTCGCCTTTCTGTTCAACTTCCCAATCGACGCAGTGTGAGCCTATGGAATATCACTGAAATAATGACTGATTCACGAGATTAATGTATGATAACTAGTAGACCAGGCTATTTCATTAGTTCGATGCTCCTGATGTGGCTTCGTAGATCAGGTGGTTGAGGATTTGCTGCGTTTGGATACGCAGTTTCTGCCGCTGGTTCAAATCCAGCTGATGCCTGGATTTTAAAAATTGGGTCTCTTTCAAACCAATCAATCTGTCAAACAGTTTATCGGTAAGAGCATTTTGAGCTTAAATATTGTGGATTACACACGCCATATGCGATGAAACACATTCTAAATGAGTTGGATGCCCTCAGAGAACATCGACAAACATGTTAATAGCGGGTGTTTGATATGTCCCAACAAAGGCCGTTAGCGAGCTATTCACTAAGGCTAGGGCGATGTTGAGACTGCTAATGTCGGAGTGTTCTAAGGGAGGTATATGCACGTACGGTTTGCTGACCACTTGTAGGCGTGGGTGTATCCGGCTGGAATCGGAGCCATGATTGGCCCAAAATCAGGTCACCTTCAACCGGTACGATATGGACCAATCCGACTAATCGACAGGCCCAAACGCCAAGTGCACGGTGTCGGCTAGCCGACGCCAGCTGGACCAACGGAATTGCGGGAAGGGGCAGATAGAGCGGTAACTGGGACCACACGCAAGCTGTTCGATTTGGAGGATGTGACGAACTTGATGGTAAACCAATCAGCGAAGCAAGCGGATGTGGATCCCGATTGTGAGCTGCAAGTGATCAGGGACAGACACAGCACATCTTAAATGGGAAATCAACTGCATATAAGAGACGCAAATGTTAATGTTTCAGCAAATATACGGTCGCATTTATTGGAGTGTAGAGGTCGGTTGGACCTTTGGATGCGCTAACGGTTGTTAGGAGACTAGCAGAAATATACACCTGGCTTCACCCTTGCTGGTGGGATATCCGCTAAGAATATAAACCATGCGGCTAAGGCCTATATGACGCTCGCTAATTTACACTACTTATGACATCGACGTTGGGTCATTCTGTTTATGAAATACAGAATACATGCTGCAGCTGTGTAGGCAGTCCTGTCGTATACCTGAGGAACCGAGACAATCCGCGAGAAGGATGGTCGCGGAGTAACTGTGGGATGTCACGGGAATAGTGAGCAAGTAATGAAGCTGTTTACCGAACACTGGATATAATAAAGTAGACGGTCCCTACCGGGGCCAGCCCTCATACAGAGGCCACTTGCGAAGATTTTGCTATTAGGAAAGACAGAGTAATTATTAACAAGAGGCACCAGCTTAGACAGGTCGGTTAAAACACAATTTCCAACGAATTACATTTTAAAGGCGAATATAACGTTTCAGCACTGTCTATAATGTGTAAAGTGATCAATATTCTGCATTGTAGCTCTGTTGTGGCAGTTGTAATATAGCCGAACTTTTGCTTTGGTCTTTTCTCGCGAAAATATAAGTGGGCATGTACAGGACTGATTTTATAGATCACGTTAAAACTTTATCGTGTTAGGGGCTTTTTGTTGAGATAGAAGGCATCAGAACTTGATATTGATCCACGAAGTTTTAAACCAATATACTGTAAACGCCCGGATTAATCCGCTAGATCGACAGTGGAAAATGGAGTGTTTGACAGAACTGGAACTTTCCGTCTTCAGATAAACAAAAGGAAAGTCATAGTGTGGTTAATTATCAAATTCGGAGGTGCGAGTATTCCAACTCTTGGCGGAATACCTCAACGCGGTGGTAAGGTACCTCCAAAAGCCCACAGCGAGCGGATCGCAAGCGACCGGACGAGCCATCGCTTAACTAGATTGGACTAACGGACGAGGAATGCCAGAGGGGAACCCCCGACAGAAGGCGTCGGACACACACAAACCGGGCAGAATGCACACGACGTGTGAACGGAAACCGGGGTGTTTGTGGACCGGAATTCTGATTCATAAACGCGAGCGTGCGCGTAGCATGGCAACCAGCGAATTGGACAATAAAGATTGTGCTTACTGAACGCCTTTTCGCCACAATGGGCCTGAAGAATAACGCGATTGACTCGACCAACTACTCCTTAGTCAATCCATAAGACAAGTGTAAAAAAAGTCAATTTGTTCCGCTCAAAAACGAGTATGGGACAGAAAAACACGGTATGTGTGTTGCGTATGGCGACCAATAAATATTCTGAACCTAGAAGACTAAAGGATAGTTACTAAAAATAATAGTTAAGGTCATTAAAACGCCAATGAGCTTAGCGGAATACAGATCAAGCAGATGGAAAAAATCCTATTTCTCCTGGTAAGCCTTTCTGGGTGGAAAAAATGAGATCCCTTGACATAGACTATCATTTGATGTGAACTTTTTTGTGAGGGCGGACTGTTCCGCAGGGTATATTTGTGGACTGAATGATAAACCTACATCAAATAGTCGCATCATATGCATAAGAACATAAAACAGTGTTATTAACAACGAAACTGATGTGCTGTACTGGGCAAGAGAAGATTGGTAAAAGAAAGACAGAAGGCAAATGTGATGAAGAGTTTTAAGGAAAGAAATTGAGTGACGCTCAGAGCAATTTCGTGCATTTTTAAAATTGCCTGACAGACTCTGTTTACGGTCAAACGGCGAAATGGAGTTTCACCTTTTTAAAAACTATACTGATGAATAATTGTTGTGGGGTTAATATCGGTTAGCTTTTTCAATTATACTGGAACAAAGATAACACTGCAGGGAACAGAACGGTTAGGCGGCAAGTTTGCTGAGATACACTACCTTGTTGTATTGCATGTGAAACAATAACTGAGTTGCCAATCACCCAGTAAGGAACACATGACAGTGTTCCAAAAAACGGCCCTTGTTGGATGAAGATACTGCAGTGTTGTTTAACGAACACAACTGGTTATACTATGTGCTACGAATGTCAACCCATAGCTTCGTAACAACAGCATTCACCAGAACAGTGAGCTAATGACTGTGACTGAGTAGAAAGCAAACGGTTCTGGAGCACGTAAGTTTGAGGTAGCCACGTGTTTCTGAAATACAGTATGTGCGCAAGTATAGATTTAAATCAGATGGGTCAAATCCATTTGGCGTGTACCAACTACTTGCACACTGGTAGGCCACAGCGTAGCGGTTCGTGAAATACTGTGAATACTGTGAAATACTGAATATCATCCACAATTGATAGCAGCTGTCTCATTCCCATGAACTTTTCGGTCAGCCGCTCTCTCACTCCTGCAATTAGTCGTCAGTAGTGCATATCCTTGCCACTGCCGGGACTAGAACTCCGGCCACGCTTTCATGAGGCAACCGTGTTGACCACTGCGCCATTGACCTCACATTAGGCACGATCCGAATTATCATATGTGAACGTACAACCACATCCGCTTGTGAATAATGCCCTGATTGCTCGGTTGTCTCGAGAAGAGACACGATGACTGTTATAACTCCAATCGATGACCCCTCGACTAGGACTTCTCTCAAGTTGAAATCACAGAAATCATTGACTTGTTGAGCGGTATTTTGATTACTGATGAGTAGTAGGGGATTTTGGTTTGACGATGACTATTGGTAGGCTACATAGATCATACGGTAACGAGAACCAAGGCTAGGACTTCCACGCTATTAGGAGGCGTATCTCCTAACGTGCAGTGTCGATCGATCCAACACAAAGGTATCTTCATCTGCGAAATTGTGTAAACCTATTGGTGGAATCGAGCGTCACTTGGGTGAAATAAAGCTAGAATATTTCGGTCCATATTGCCTAAGGCAGATTCACAGTCAGGTAGATGGGTCTGTATTGTTCCAGTTAGCCAATCAGATTGCAACCGTGCGATCGGACGCTTGTACGAGCCAACTCCAGGTGAACTGTCTTTTTGTCATGCGCCTATTAGCGTCCGTTTGATTCGCTCTGTCTTGGGTGCCATGTCTGGTAATTGTTTACTGTTTATTTCCACAGCCCCTGTGGTCTAGTTTTTGACTCGCTTCCAATATGAAGAAAACCGTTGGAACACGAAAACTGGTAAATGCAAGCATTT